GTGTTCTTGAAGTAGACAAAGAGCAAAAGCAGATGTTGACTAAAGGTCCCTACATACTACGAAGTTGCCAAATCGTCTCTCAGTGACGCGATGAAAAGTCAAGTATGAAGTGCTTGATCAGGTGTTAGTTTACACAGAAAAGCACTCAGGCAATAATGGTGGCTAAACTCATTGTATGACGAGAGTTCACTCCTCCCTATGCTAAGGAGTAGAAAAGAGGGAGAAACAAACAAACAAATAAACAAAAATAAATAATTAAATAAAAAAACAAGCAGGAAAGTGAAAATGATCAACTTCATTTTAATTTATAATGTGATTAATCGATGTGTTTATTGTGACAGGCTTAATTTACAGTGAGAAATATTGCAATTAAAAAAAGTTTTTCAAAGTGGAGATTTTTTTAAAACACATTTTTTGGTGGGTCTGTGTGGAATTACAGGTCTGTTCAATAACATTGATGTAGCAGCTATTCATCTGTCCACTATCATAAGGAGAGCCGTTTCATTCAAAATACAATAAATAAATAAATAAATAATGCAAGTAATAAATAAATTAATAATGTCATTATTAAAGTATTATTATAATTTATTTAATAATAATTTTTTTATTTATTACAAATTGTAGTTTTATTTTGTGACACTTTTATTTTGCAAATCTACTTTACATATTTCAGGGACTTTTATTTTGAACTCCCTCCCAGCGCGGCTATGGCAGAGTGGTTAGGGGAGTCGTCCTGGAACCGGAAGGTTGCCGGTTTGATCCCCCGTAGCTATCACAGTTGTTGTGTCATTTGGCAAGACGCTTCACCCCTAATGCCTCTGATGTGTGTCCCATCAGTGTATGAATGTGAGTGGCACCGATTAGTCTCCATAGTTGATTGTATATGTTAGCTTTGTAGCTGTGTGCATGGCTTTAGCAGTGTTAGCTGCATTAGCCATGTTGAGATTTGCTTTTGTTACAGGAGGATGATGTCATAACAAAAGCTGGCATCAACAGCAAAAGCTGTGTTCTGATTTAAAATTCTTAAATTAAAGTTTTATCATTTAGTTGCAACATTTAAAATTTTATTTTTATTTAATATTAGCTAAATGTAAGAAGAGAGCTAAATAACAATAAAAATGTTTAACTAGGAAGTAAGTTAATTAATGAAAATGTTGTTTTTTTACATTTGGCAACCTATAAGAGTAAGACTAGCAAAAATGCAAAAAAATGTTGTCTTTAAACATCTTCAGTCTTTGTTGAAGGTGGTGCAGATTAATAATTTTAAACATTAAGCTGTAGGTCAGACCTGTTGAAATCGAGGGTTGTGTCTAAATCAGGTGACTGGGAAATGGCTCGTCTGTAGGAGAAGAAGGATTTCTGACGGTTGGTGGGATTAAATGGTCTCCCCTTCTCCCCCTTCTGGCCTTGGTGTCCAGATTTCCCCTTCAGACCCATGTCCCCTTTCAAACCATGTCGTCCTGGTTGGCCCTTTAGACCTTGTGCGCCTTTCTGGCCCCTGACGGGCTGACCTGCCTCACCTGTTCAAAGACATAAAACACCTTTTTAGAATCTGGAGCAAAAAAAAAACAACCAMATTTTTTAAATGAGACGATGACGATCCACTGAGCTCACCTGGATCTCCCTTCTCCCCTCTCCCACCGTCCACCCCGTCGGGTCCGTGACTGCCGGGGATCCCAGGGATCCCTGGAACCCCTCCAGTGCAGGACATCTGCATCTGAACCAGGTCCAGGTGGACCAGGAGGCCTAACGCTGCCATACAGCAGCCGAGCCACCRGAGGGCCTGAACACAAAGATATGTTACATAATTATTACAATTAAAACAATAATAACTGTTTCTGAAACAGCTAAAAGTCTGAAAACCACAAATCTGTTACAAAAAAGCAAAAAATAGGTGGAAATGTTGTGAATTGTTTCTAAGATCAAAACCATAATGAAGCACTAAATCTAACAAAACAGCAACTGAAAGCTTAAAGGAGCAAAAATCCAGCTAAATGCTAAAGTAAACACAAGCATTTAGTTAAAAGCTGAAACACAACTAACCAATTTAATTAAAAATAGATTATTTATTACAAAAAACACTTTTTGTTCATTAAAATAATTTTAGCAAATATGCATTTAATTAAATGCACTGCACATTTTGATACTTTTATGTACGTATTTTATATTTTCTTGTGTACTTTAGCTCGTATTTGTTGCTGATTTGTTAAAGAAATTTTAGCTCGTCTCGTACCGCAGATCAGTCGATTCCAGGTTGCTTTGAAATAAAATAAACTAACTTAACTAAAATGTTAAACTATAATAATAAAATATAAAATAAATGTTTTTTTTTTATACTTTCAGATTAAATAGATATTCTCACCATCTTCAGAAATCTGTGGTCCTGAGGCGCAGCGGKCAGTTCAGAGCTGTTTTCACAGAATCGACTGCAGCTCAGTCAGGAAGAAAACAGGAAGTGAAACTCAGAGGAGCTCCACCAGCGTCATTTTCTGAAAAACTGCTGCAGCCAGATTTAAGAACCRTTTATTTACAACTGTGATTTTCAGAGAACAAAGGCTGGCTAAAAGCTAAAATATGCAGAGCACTAGCTGAACGCTAAATGTAGCAAAAAGGCTAACTGWAAGTTAAATTAAGCAAAACGCTGGCTAAATACTGAAATATGCAGAACTCTAGCCGAAGGCTAAACATAGCAAAATGCCAGTCTAAAGCTAAAAGAAGCAGAATGCTAACTAAAGGCTAAAAGTAGCAAAATGCTAGTGTAAACCTAAATTATGCAGAAAACAATGTAAAAGCAAAAAGCAGGAAAATACAGGCAAAAATGGCAAAAAGCGAGTTAAAAGCCAAATCTGGCMAAGGGCTGCATAAAAACCTTCTTATGCAGAATAATGGCTGAAAGCCAAACTAGCAAAAGACTAGCCTAAAGCTAAATGAAACAGATCACTAGCTAAAATTTAAAYGTAGCAAAAGGCTAGATKTAAACTARAAGAAGCAATATGCAGCAGAACAAGTAACAAAARTCTAATTAGAAACCAGTTAAAGCAAAAAGCTGGCTAAAATCTAAAATACGCAGAACAATAGCTGAAGGCTATATATAGCAAAAGGGTAGCCTAAAGCTGAAAAAAGCAGAGCAGTTGCTAAAGGCTAAATGTAACAAACGGCTAGTTTAAAGCTATAAGAACAGAAAATGTAGACGCAAAAAGCAGCAGAACCCGAGCTAATAGCTTAAATAACAACTAAATTAAGCAAAAGGCTAGCTAAATGCTAAAATATGCAAAACAGTAGCTGAAAGCTACTAGTGGTTAAACAACCAATTAAATTTTAAGAGAGAAAGTTGTTATAATCTGAAGGTGGTAGAGATGTTTGTGAAACACAGACTTGGTGTACTTCCACACAAGGAATAAGACTGAGAACAATCTGGAGAGTGAAGTCAAAAATGCCAGATCAATGTTTATG